TTCTGTCTCAATTCTGAGGTCCTGAATTTGATTCCCAGTTCCCAGTGTATCACACGAAAATCACTCTATTACTATTCTTAACATAGAAGTGATAGGCTTAATATTAAGCCTTTTAATTTTATTTTGGATGCTATTTCACATTAGTACACATTTTCACCATCAATCCCTAATTTTTAAGTGACCCCTATGAAAACAAAATGTCTGTTATGTGTTACCATAGGGGTCACTTAAAAATTAGGGATTGATGGTTTCAATCGATCGATCGAATCGAATCGATCTTCGTAAAGGTTCTAAAAGTTCATTCGTGCATCGCTTCCACACCCGTATATTGCAAGATTTCAATGCATAAGGTACCAGCGTCAAATAGTTCGTGTCACCCAAAGTAGCCAAAAAGTTCGCAACACGTCTTTGTTACAATTTAAATAAGGTTGTGTTTGTGTTGTCAACTTTAATGAAAGTATATTTTTGTCCAAAAGTTTATTATACTCATTGATGATGTACTAAAACCTGAATGTCAATAACAGGTTTATCCTGTTCCTGAAGCAATTTCAAAGAAAAAAGTAATATGGATTCAATATTCCTTAATACCAGTAACTGTCAGAATGTAACGACTTACTTTGAACCAGGAACAAATAGCTTTCCTTTGTGAAGATTCTTGCGAATATGAAGTCAATTAACTGTCAAAATGTACGAGGATTTTGATTTGATTCAAAGTAAACAAATCCGTCAATTATAAGGTAAGGTAAACAAACTTGATTAAATTAATAATTAAAATGTAATGTACAGTCGTCAGCACACTTGACAAAGCTAAAACACTTTAATGTATTTTTTGTTATTGCATTTAACACTATTGTACCTACTACCCGTGTAGTGACTGCACAAAATACAAAAATAATGAAATAAACAAAAGAGATGTTTGAACATCACTAGGCGGCTTCATCGCTATGAAGCAATCTCTTCCAGACAATCTAGAGGACAGTCGTTTAAAATAGGTTATATTATGTATAAAATAATCTATCGACCAGATCACAGAAGTTGAATACAATATAGATTAATTCCAAATAGGTATTTCTGTGAAGAGATTTTACTTTCATACATTTTATTTCCTTACCGAGAATCTTTGATGGCATTTTGATTATGATGCCTCATTTCATCCAACATAATATCCTTTCAATCCCCAATAATCTGTATTCATTAAGATCTCAAAGGGCATTAACAAAAAGCGCATACTTAAGATTCAGACTGAAATCCTGACAACAATGACGTAGGGCCGTCAACAGGATGAAAAGATGTGAAAAATGAGCGTGGGGTACTCTAGCAAATTGACAAAAGCTGCGCCGGTCCGTTAAGCCCTGTTCGGACTGGTCGAGTAATTTAGTAAAGTAGCTTGCATTTGCCTTTTTCGCGGGAAGTATCTGGATGCCGCAGTGCAGGACCGGTCGTTATGGAACTCCTTGGGGGAAGCCTTTGTCCAGCAGTAGACGTCATTTAGCTAAAACTGAACTCGCCTTTTTAGTATTTCCAAAATACTGAACTGTCCTATTCATGTCATTGACAGCGGGGCGCCACCGTCAATACCGGATCGCTGGTTCCGATTTTTGCCATGTTGGAAACCATATAGTTGAACGATGGTAGCGCCCCCCTGTCATTGAGTTTGGTGGGATAGTTCAGCGTGGGTCATCTACAGGGTGTCCCAAAAACAATGGATAACCCTGTAACCATCGATAGGCCTCGCCATGGTCTCCCTAACGTCCAATTTTGACCCCAGTAAAAATATCACCGTTTTCAAGATTTTTAAGTTTTTGTGCATTTTTAGAAAATTTCCACCTGCGATTACTTTTTCTCATGCCATTTCTACAAATGAGGATACTTTTCAATCTAGTTTTTTTCCTTATCACAAGGGATAGTTGGGCTATCAAAAGAAAAGATTAAAGTTCAACAAACTAGTTTGAAAGTATGAAAATTTTAAGAAATTGCAGAAGAGAAGGAAAAATTAATTCATTGTCTTGCACTTTTGATCAGCCATCGTGTAAAAAAAATGTAGGAAGACCATCGTGCCCATTACCTTAAAAACTTCCTTGGTTAATTGAGATTCTAAAAAGGTATCACAAGCCTATGTATCCTGTATTATTTTTATCTTATGGCTACTTGAATAGCAACTAGTATGAAAACTGCAAAAATGAGTTTTTCTCGTAATAGTTAAACTAGGACTGCATAGTGGCATTAAATACAAATGGATAATTTTTAGCGTAGGAATTTTAATAAAGCAACATTTTATCATCATCATCATCATCATTTCAGCCATAGGACGTCCACTGCTGAACATAGGCCTGTACCCCAATGATTTTCATAATGACCGCTTGGTAGCGGCCTGCATCCAGCACCTTCCTGCTTACCTTTATGAGGTCGTCGGTCCACTTTGTAGGTGGACGTCCTACGATGCGCTTTCCGGTACGTAGCCTCCACTTGAACCCTGTTGCCCCATTGGCCGTCCGTTCTGCGTTTTTGTGATTACTTAATTTTTGTTTTACACCTTATAAATGTGCCTATAGACAGATACCCGTGATGATACACGGCTCGGAAACGTGGATTTTTTGCACAGCGTGCTATGGAAGGGGCTATGCTCGGGTTTCTTTACGAAACCGTATCAGAAATTAGGAGACCTGTAAACGAACTAAAGTCGCTGACATAGCCCGACGGATCAGCAAGCTGAAGTGGCAAAGGGCAAGGCACAGTAGTTCGCAGAACTGAGGCAGCAGGGTTCAAGTGGAGGCTACGTACCGGAGAGCGCATCGTAGGACGTCCACCTACAAAGTGGACCGACGACCTCATAAAGATAAGCAGGAAGGTGCTGTATACAGGCCGCTACCAAGCGGTCATTATGAAAATCATTAGGGTACAGGCCTATGTTCAGCAGTGGACGTCCTATGGCTGAAATGATGATGATGATGATGATAAAATGTTGCTTTATTTAAATTCCTACGCTAAAAAGTATCCATTTGTATTTAATGCCACTATGCAGTCCTAGTTTAACTATTACGAGAAAAACTCATTTTTGCAGTTTTCATACTAGTTGCTATTCAAGTAGCCATAAGATAAAAATAATACAGGATACATAGGCTTGTGATACCTTTTTAGAATCTCAATTAACCAAGAAAGTTTTTGAGGTAATGGGCACGATGGTCTTCCTACATTTTTTTTACACGATGGCTGATCAAAAGTGCAAGACAATGAATTAATTTTTCCTTCTCTTCTGCAATTTCTTAAAATTTTCATACTTTCAAACTAGTTTGTTGAACTTTGATCTTTTTTTTTGATAGCCCAACTATCCCTTGTGATAAAGAAAAAAACTAGATTGAAAAGTATCCTCATTTGTAGAAATGGCATGAGAAAAAGTAATCGCAGGTGGAAATTTTCTAAAAATGCACAAAAACTTAAAAATCTTGAAAACGGTGATATTTTTACTGGGGTCAAAATTGGACGTTAGGGAGACCATGGCGAGGCCTATCGATGGTTACAGGGTTATCCATTGTTTTTGGGACACCCTGTATAACTAAACTACTCCACAAGATGGGCATAATTACGGAAGACGGCTGTCGGGCATGTGGAGAACATGCGGTGTCCATGAAATACCTACGGTGCGAATGCGATGCGCTAGCTAGAACTAGGATTCTCCTGGGGTCGGCTTATCTGGCACCAGAAGGTTATAAGTCCTTCTCACCCTAGCACTTGATTCACTTTATGGATAGGATTTTTGCGGATGAGGGGGAATAAAAGTAAAGGGGAGTAACAAAAGATCCCAATGGCTCGACGTGCACTGTGCTCATGCGCGGCTCTAAATAAGATAAGATGAGATAACTAAACTTGTTTCTTACAAAAAAACCGTTTGCACTTTGGTCGAGTACAGTTTACAAGTCAATGGTTTTTGTATGAACTCGACAACCGCCCGGTTCGGACTCGTTTAGCCAGCGAACGAGTGTGAAGGGACGCGTGTTGTAGTTGCTACTTTCCTTTCAAAATAGATCATAATGGATTGGCTCGACTCATAGCTCGATTAAACGATTAACGCCTGTATTCACAAACGATGCTTGCTTAAGTGATGCAGCAAATCTAACGCATAGCGTTGAATAGAGCTCTGTGATTGGTTCATGTGTCACTCTGTGCGTCCACGCTAACTGTGAGACCTCATAGTAATGTTTGTGAATACGGGCGTTAGTAACCGAATAAATTTTTGGTGTTCAGCTTCTAAATAACTCGCCACTTGACTAAATTACTCGACTAATGCCAACAAGGCTTCAAATGGATTGGTTGAGGCGCTAATGGCGGTGTTCCCGGTGAATGAAACCAATTATAAGGATTTGGACACCGTTTAAATCGAAATTTATGAGAAAAATTGTAGGTTAATGGCGGGGAGGGGCATTGTTGTGGATAATCTGGGTGACAATTATGTGCAAAGGGCCAAAATATGGAGGTTTTTAAACGGTTTAGAAATAAAAATTACTTAATACAGATTGTGGATTTGTGGGGATAATAGAATAACACATAAAATATTAAATGTGAGTATAGACTAGCTAGCATTTCTGTATAATTTGTATTATACGTTAAGATGTAAAGTTCTTACAATTCGTATGTGAAAGGGTGACCACTAGAACATTTCATAGAGCAGCGTCGTCGTCTACAATAGACTGTTTTTATAAGATTATTTTCTAATCATTTTTGCAAATGAGATAGGATTGAACAATAACGTGTCATTTGCGTCCTGTGTTATAAAGAAAGTAAAAAGTCAAAGAAACTGTCACTCAAAATTGAAATTGTACAAAATCTAGTAAACAAAACTAAAGGGAAAAAGAAAATAAATAATACTGAGTCAAGTACATGATAAGAATAAATTCTCACATTTTCGATTATGAAATTGCCAGAAATATTGTTAGACGTACAAAATCAGAAAGTGATATTTATAAACTTGAAGAGGAAAATAAGAAGGCCAAGGTAGACTTGGGAACTCAAATGGATGAAACAGAAATGAAGATAGAAGAAATATTAGCTTTAAGTAGAGAAATCCATAAAGATGCGATACCTTCGGATAATATCCAAACTCAATACATAGTTATAAATATGTTTAAGCAGCAAAATGAACCTGAGGATACTAGTGAGTTTAAATATTTACTTGTACCACAATAGTCAGAGTGTAAGTATGCTCCATAATGGAGCTAAATAACTGATTAATAAACATATCTTATTATTATTATTTTTTTAGGTGATTTTTCAGAAATTGTAAAATAAGTTTATTAAAAGTATAGAATTAAGAGATTAAGAATAATACAAATAATTAACCTACATAGACTAAAATTTATTTACATATCTTATTAGATAAATGAATAAACAATATTAAAGTTATCCACAATTTTACAGTATTTTTTTCAAAATTTAAGATTTACTTACAAGTATAGGCAAGGTATAGCAACACAAATAAAACGTCAAGCTGTGAGTACTGTAGTAACATATTATAATAAATTATGCATCAAGAATCGTTTTGTTCTCTATGTTACCTAATTGTACTGAAACGCGAAGCTTAATCCTAATACGCCTCTCAATATAGCTTACTCTACAACTATAGATAGAACGAACATTTAATACATGTTCTCCTGAAGGACTCAAACCTTTTACTATAGCCAGGGTTTTAGTCCATCAAGCCACCAGTAAAATAGAAATAAAGAAGACAAGTTTAAGACTGTTCTTATGTCTTTGCTTGCAACTCTTAGCTGAAAATGTCGAGCAGCCAGCAAACACAATGCCAATTTTTTTCCTTATTTTCTAGCAAACTGTAAATAGGCACTATCCCCAAAGATAACACAGTGTTTGGCGTTTCGCCAACTCCACCGCATCAAATTTGCACCGCGAAATTATTATTATATTTTGAAATTTCAGATCCGAGGGCACACGACGGTAAAGTCTTGCCTGCATACCGGCCTGGTACTCTCACTGTGTTCATACAGTGTATAATGCTGATGACTTTCACTATGTTTATGTTCACGGGGATATTGGTCGGATATATTATGATAACGTAAGTATTTGAATAAATTATGGTGTATAGTTTGACTCCTCTGTCCATTTGTAAGTCTGAAATTTTGAATCTTTACAACTGGACTATTCCCTCCTCTCGTTCCCACCTCTGCAATTTTGCCTGTGTATCCAGGATCCACAGCTTGACCGCCAATAAAACCCCAACCAGTGAAGGTCAAGTTTGTCCCGGGGGAAAGTTAAACTATCATTGGACCCGCAACGAAATTAATCAGACGCTAAAGTTCGACAACCAAAGGTTTGGTAGCCTTTGGCCTTACTGACAATAAATATCAATAATTAAGGACACATACGAGTATCTTAATAAAAATATGGGCTATTAGCTACCCGCTAATAATAATTTAATCTGTAGAATGAAGGCTCACCGTTTTAGCGCTCACCATTTATCGCCACTGTAGGTTAGACTTGCTAGAGGCGAAGATAGTAGCGCCAACTGGTGAGCACTGAACTGGTAGGGAGAATAATATCTCATTTGCACTCACCAGGAGGACGCCACCGTAAAGTAGGGTCATGTCAATCGCCAGAGACGTAAGATGGGACAGAGGGCGTCCACAACAGTCCTCCATCGCGTTCGGTCTTGAGCTTCACGTTTGATATCGCTCCAGGTCTTGCCGAATTTTCTTCGCCTCGTCTGCTACAGTGCGCCGCCAAGTTTGCTTGGGGCAGCACCACTGATAATCGCCAGTGGTGCCAAATTAAGTAAAGTATAAAAACGATACCTCATTGTATAACTATTCTTTCAGGCCAGATGTAAAACAATTCATCGCTAAGGAGGCAATTTTTATGATTGCCTTATTCTTGTAAGTACATGTAAATGACTCTATGAACTCCTGAATCTTACCATAGAGTTTTTCCATTATTTTTATCTTTACAGATTTATATTCTTGTTCATAGACTATGGGTTTGTGTGTACAGACTGTTCCAGACGTGTTCCTTGCAATTTTTACTTTTTGTGCCTAACGGTAATTTTTTGAATTCATAATACCTAACAATTTAAAATGTATACCTAAGATACAAAACCTTCTTCATTTCAGAGATTTAGTTTAAGTTCTTCATCATTTCAGCCATAGGACGTCCACTGCTGAACATAGGCCTCCCCCAATGATTTTCACAAAGGCCGTTTGGTAGCGGCCTGCATCCAGCGCCTTCCTGCTACCTTAAGTGCTTGCTATAACCAGAACCCAAGGAAAGTATACTTGTAGATAGTTTTGTGACTTACACAGTCTGACTTCCTTTGTCTACTTTTGATCTTATTTTATAGTAATATTTTTTCATCAGTAGACTACTACAAAATGTAAATTATGCTTTCAGGTGGTGTCATTGAGTGTTATTATAGCCACAGTAAGTGCTTTATGCGACTCATCAGTGTTACTGTGCACTATTTTGGCTGTTGCAGTTACTGTGTTAATTGCTGTTTTTCTTACATTCACAAAGGTAATCCTGTGCTGATTTTACGGTAATAAGCTTTGAGCCTTCATGATTAGTCGATAAGGTTCACTTTGTTTTATTTCAGACTGACTTCTCAAGTCCTTTTATGTATGCTGTGATGCTGGTGACGGCGTTTTTTGCAGTAATTCTGATTGCTGTTGTATTGATAGCAACTAAGACCTACGTGAATCCTTTGTGGCTGCTTGGAGTCATTATTGCCACTTTTATACAAGTTACGGTATGTTAAAACACATAATATTCAAGTAAGTAAGCTGAGGTGCCAATATAAACTAATGTTGTTTTTATTCTACAAACGAGTGTTTAAAATAAATAAATAAAATAAATAAATATCCATGGACATTTTACACTGTGCTTCTAGTCCCAAACTAAATATAATATATAAATATGTTTGAATGATGTTATTCTAAGATTAAGCTCCAAATCAATGTAGCTCTAAGTTGCACGTTTTTAGAGGCTAATATTCCTACTTATCAATATTAAAGTCAAGAGTAACTATTTTCTAAACTCATTTATTCCAGATGTTAACAATGCAGTTGCAAACTATACTCGGTGGTAGAACGATCGAGCTGAAGGAAGACGACTACACCATCGCATCGTTTATGCTTTACGCGTCCGTCATCGATGTGTTCCTTAAAATGCTGCAAATTGCTGACGTGACCAGAGATGCACGGTGACACTTAGACAGCCCACTGTTGGGCGTAAGCCACTCTTCAAATAGCTGGAGTGAATAAAATCTACCTATGACATTCTATTACTGTACATGGGGAAATTTATAAAGAAGCGCCGCCACAGAGAACGAACTTCTGCTTGTCACCCGCTGTGCCAGAAGGAGGGTTATGGTGTTTAATTTTCTTTTTCACTGCCGGCGGTCTTTAGGTTTCTATTCACTACGTTTGTTGTAACCATAATACATACCTACATTTTTAAATAAAATTATGGAATAAAAACTAATAGCACTCTTTTTTAACAACCATAAGGCAAGGGAATAAATTAAAATAAATAAATAAAAAATTTGAATTTGAATTTGAAACAATGCTTCAGGTACAAATACACATGCTCATAAAATGGCGTTCTTAATAATTGTATGCTTGAAACAAGTGTGCTCGAAATGAGAATTAATGAGAATGCTTATTTTATTACCAACTGTTTCGACACACACACATGCTACTGTAGAAATTGTTGAATATTAGAATGCTTTTGTGTGCTAGTAATGCTTACCTTAACTTATTATGGTCTGCATCAGAATTAGACCTCACCTGTGAACTTATCTTTTTTAAGACCAAAAAAAATAATATTAGGAAGAAAAAGGTTTGGAGCACCATCCTGCGATCTTTTAAAAGGTTGTCTGAGACTTCCTTTTTCCAATACCTATCCCCAAAATATCCCTAGTGCTCCATCAATCCGTCCATTGAAAAGAGCTGTCAGCTTCCAGAAAGACTTGGAAATTAAAAGTAGGCACCTAACTACTTAGAAGATTTATGAGGCTCAAATCCATTACTAAGAATAGGTTCCAATATCTAAACTACTTATCATCTACTTACATACACTGATTATAAAGAGGAAAGATTCGATTATTTGTTTGAATTGAATAAGCTCCGAAACTTCTGACCCAATCTATACTAATCGATATTATTATCTCTACTAGTCTATACTATCTATATTATAAATGTAAAAGTAACTCTGTCTGTCTGTCTCGCTTTCACGCCTAAGCCACTGAACCGATTTTGATGAAATTTGGCATAAAGATAGTTCGAGTCCCGGGAAAGGACATAGGATAGTTTTTTCCCGGTTTTTGAAACAGGGACGCGCGCCAAAAAATTTTTCTGTTACGAAGACGAAATTCCACACGGGCGAAGCCGCGGGCGGAAAGCTAGTTTTATATAAATTTATTAATTTTACTCCGCCATTTTTCGCAATTTTACAATCATGTCCCACATCATGGACCTATAAAAAAAGGCGGACGGAACTCGCGCTACAACAAAACTGTGACGCAAAATTTTGGCGTTTGTCTATTGTGTGAGTGAATTTAGGGATGCCATGTTAGCCAAAACATTTATCTTAAGAAAAACATAGATGGGCAGATATGTTACTTGGAAATGTAGACGGAATTATATCGTGCCATTTGAAAAGGATGAAAGATGAATGCGTTGAGGTAGACGCACGGTAAATTTTCAAATTTTCTTACTTTGTTTGCAAGTCAGTGTCAGGTTATATGTTGATCAAAATATGATTCACGCAGTTACAAATTATCAATCTTGTGTACCTACGTAATCATAATCTTATGTATCATCAATATTATTATCTCTGATAGATTTTAACATTCAACCTGACACTGACTTGCAAAAATATAAGAAAATTTGAATTTCGCAGTTCCACGCCCTTGGGAAGGATCAAATCTGCCTACGAAAATATATCCCATTAAAACACAGTTATTATAATAAATTATTTTATTTCTATAGTAACTATACGTAATAAACACCTAAAAAGTCTTAAAATTATAGATTTCCCACTTTTCGGGTAATTTTCCCACGTAAATAACTGAGAACACTGGCCTTTGACGTATTATTTTGTCGGGTGATTGACGTTTGATTTTAATATTTTAATGTTTATAAAATCTGGGAAATAAGTGATTAGATTATTAGTTTACCTGTGAAATGTGATTCCTTGATTTTTGTAACGGTTTTTACACAATTTCACCACGCAAGACATGTCGTATTTGTGTTTTTTTTTCGCCGCGTAAATGTGTCAACTGTGTGAAGTTTGCACTCGAAGTGGTGTATCAGGGTATGAATGTGTGCGTGCCGGCCTGTACGTACAGGCGAGCTGGTATATCCTAATGTCACAGTATTTTGTTGATGAGAATCCGTCCGACTTTTTTTATAGGTCCATGTCCCACATTAATTGGGTGGTACGAAGTTCGCCTGGCCAGCTAGTAATATGATACTTTACATAGTGGTACCAAAATATCTGTAACATTTTCGATTTCCCCTCAAGATCAAGCATGGTTAAAACCATTAATAAGAAAGTCAAAATAACAATTTCCTACCCCACGGCCATGACTTATGGGAGTTGTACTTTGGACTGCAAAGTACAATTGATGGCAAAGAAAGTTCCCCCTTTGGACTTAAAAGTTTTGCTTACTAAATTAAACCTCAGTATTAAATTAGTAAATTAGCAGCGTGGACGTCCACCCACAAGGTGAACCGACGACATCATAAAAGTAGCAGGAAAGCGCTGGACGCAGGCAGCTACCAACCGGGCAACATGGAAAGCATTGGGGGAGGCCTATGTTCAGCAGTGGACGTCCTATGACTGAGATGATGATGATGATGATGACTAAATTAGTACCTAGCTTCGATGATCATAAATTAACATTGAATAAAGCAACTTAGTACTTTTTTCTATTTATTTTCTTTTAAAAACCAACAGCGTATTTAGCTATATTGTATACTATTGTAGCTTCTTAAAAATAACTTGTAATAAATACCTATAGCTCTCTCCGTTACTAATAAAAAGTAACACGCTTGTTGAACTCTGTTTTAAAATTACAATCTCCACACTAAACGTCACTTCAAAACACTGTTCAACGAGCGTGTATGTTTTATTAGTAAGGAGGCAAGTCTCTATAAACGCCAAAAAACCTTTTCTTTGTAACACACTGCTACAAGAAGAGGATTTAAATATTTGATTTAGTTACGAGGTAAAACCTAAAATAGCACTGTTATGTGCCATTATCTTGCCTGCAACTGTATCATAAACTATTTATTTCAACATTTCGGAACACTATCATTGATTTATTCACGAAATTCAAGCAACTTGAGCTGTGATCTTTAAGCTTTGCTTTAGTAAGGGAATATGAAACTTTAAATTGAAATGCTTCCCAAGAAAACTGTTACTATTTACTATTAGTAACATTTAAGTAATTTATTTCGTAAATTGTAATCCTGTATCTGTCTTTAAAATAACTCTACTCTCTCTACATTTAACTAACTACAAATAAAAGTTTATATAAGTTTAAATATTTATAACTACAACATTTTAATTTTTGTAATAATAACAAAAATAACAATTAATAGGAATCTTTTACTTTTTAGTATAACAACAGTAAACATGCAAAATCATTGTTTTTTCGTTAGTTTTCGTTGACTGTACTTAGTGCAAAAGCCGAAAAAAATATTATGATATTAAATTAATTTAAATCGGGGGCTTCGACCACGGGTGCGTCGAACACTGGGGGACTCGGCCACGGACCCCATAATATTTACTGACAAATTGATATAAGTATAGACTTATTTATAAATAATATGTATGAAAAAAGTTGGCTATCTCATAATCTATTAAATCAAAAACATAAAACTCATTTATTTTTGCAAATAGGCTTTAAAAAAGCACTTTTACACGTCCAGTGCTGAGAAGAAGCAGCGCAAGAAACTCAGTCACTATTTGACCCTTACATCTGCATCAGACATTCTAATTGGCAAAAACATTATGAGTAATTCAGTTTTATAAATAGACTAGTAAGTAAACACATTTATTTTCAAATAAATTAAGTTTTAGTTCATTTGTTAGAAAATAAAAATCTGATTTTCTTAACTTAGTTTTAGGAGTTAATCATTATGCGTATCATGTGTGACTTTCAAATTCTAGATCTCAACTTCAATGTTAAAACTTACTTAATCACTTAACTTGAAGCACCTACTCAGTTTTCACTTACAATCAAATGAAATACGTGATTTATAACGCCCAGTAGAGAAATAACGAAACGTTGCGCGCGAAGTATGCAAGATTTAGTTTTGGGGATATATCGATACTTGATCTGTCGATATTTAAAATTTCAGACGAAAAAAGAAAAAAAAAATAATCAGCATTTCAAAACTGTCGTTTCTTAGTTTCTTTCAAGTGACTGTTCTTTCTACTCTTGAAAATTAATAATATGTTCTAAAAAATGTGGAGGAAAAAAAGTGATTCGTGGCAACTTGCCACTTAAAATAATAATAATTATGTTTTTAAGACCGTTGTAAGGTAATTTCTAAATTGCTAATAACTTACTCGCAGAGCACTCAAATGAAAATGTGACTGAATAATCAAGCTATGGTTACCTTAGAAAACTTTAACATACCTACTGTTTATTGTTGTATACCTGACAAGAGTCCATCTTTTTGACTCAACTAATGATCTTGTTGAATCCATTACCAAGGAAATTGTGACAAATCTTTTTTATCGATAAGTCGTTGATCAATAGATCTTAGACAGCACTATAAGATTGATTAGCTCCATTTTGGAGTGAACGATATTTCATATTGTACCATCGATCATTTCAGAGCCGAACAGCGGAAAATATTGATTCGAATTGTATATTACGATTTAAGGATAAAAAATAAGCTTATACATTAGTTGAATTCAACGCCAGATGTGTTTTGGATTGCGAAGAAAACCGTTGAAAAGAAATTGTGTCAGGTACCAATTTTTATGAATAGCAATTATTATATCGGAATAAATAAAGTTTTAAGATAATTATGGTTGGGTATTCAGTCTACGATACAATAAATTTTAATCATCATCATAATTCAGCCATAGGACGTCCACTGCTGAATATAGGCCTTCCACATCGCAGCGTGGGACGTCCATCGACATGGTGGACCGGCGACCTGATAAAGGTAGCAGGAAGGCGCTGGATGCAGGTTGGTTTTGGTTATTATGCTGCCACATTAACAAACACTTATGATTACACTGTCATTGTTTGTACATCCCTGTAGGTAGGACACCCAAAGTAGCCAAAAAGTTTGATACACATATTTGTTTCATTTGGAATGAGGTTGG